TCCAATAATTGAAACAGCTTTTCAGAATTGTGCTGTTTATTGTATGCCTCTGAAAAATATAAGATGATTGGGCAGGCTTAATTCTAGAAAACTTGCTGAACAAATAGATGAGCTGTCTCAGAGGCAGCAGGAGACTATGGTAGACTGAAATGTGACAGCTTAAAAAATAAGCAGGCACTATCAGAATAATATCCAGACTGTTAATATGTGGTAGGTCAGCAATAAATGTTCAGGAAAATTATATCCTGTGATCTCTGTACACAGGTGAAGGAATGCATTACCCTAACTGGTTTGTCAGTGAATGGTTTGGCATGGCAATGAGTGTGGCAACCCCCCCCCCCCCAAGACTTGATATCTTCTCTAATACAATACCACAAAAAGTCACAGAGAAGGATATGGGTCATTTGAAATAGTTCAGAATGTCCAGCTGATTGGTTGCTTCTAATGGCAGAGTTGTAAAATCTTTTTCCTCGAGGAAAGAAAAAATTGCAGTGGGCATTATGATACAGTTCTCCCTGTTTCTAATGGAAAAGGAAGAAGGCAAGGAGCCAGAATAAAAGCCAATTAGTTAGGTAGGGAAAGAGTTTCATTTCCAGCCCCAAATGCCTCACAGAATGAGTAACATGTTGAGGAGGGAGCACAATTTTCAAAAGAGTTATAAATTGATTTGCATTTTAATGAGTGAAATAAGTATTTGACCCTTTCGCAAAACACAACTTAGTACTTGGTGTAAAACCCTTGTTGGCAATCACAGAGGTCAGACGTTTCTTGCAGTTGGCCACCAGTCTTGCACACATCTCAGGAGGGATTTTGTCCCACTCTTCTTTGCAGATCCTCTCCAAGTCATTAAGGTTTCAAGGCTGATGTTTGGCAGCTCGAAACTTCAGCTCCCTCCACAGATTTTCTATGGGATTAAGGTCTGGAGACTGGCTAGGCCACTCCAGGACCTTAATGTACTTCTTCTTGAGCCACTCCTTTGTTGCCTTGGCCGTGTATTTTGGGTCATTGTCATGCTCCAGCATTCCAATACCCATCCACAACCCATTTTCAATGCCTTGGCTGAGGGAAGGAGGCTCTCACCCAAGATTTGATGGTACATGGCCTTGTCCATCGTCCCTTTGATGCGGTGAAGTTGTCCTGTACCCTTAGCAGAAAAACACCCCCAAAGCATAATGCTTCCACCTCCATGTTTGATGGTGGGGATGGTGTTCTTGGGGTCATAGGCAGCATCCCTGCTCCTCCAAACACGGCAAGGTGAATTGATACCAGAGAGCTTGATTTTGGTCTCATCTGACCACAACACTTTCACCCAGTTCTCTGAATCATTCAGATGTTCATTGGCAAACTTCAGACGGGCCTGTACATGTGCTTTCTTGAGCAGGGGGACCTTGAGGGCGCTGCAGGATTTCAGTCCTTCACGGCATAGAGTGTTACCAATTGTTTTCTTGATGACTATGGTCCCAGCTGCCTTGAAATCATTGACAAGATCCTCCCATGTAGTTCTGGGCTGATTCCTCACCGTTCTCATGATCATTGAAATTCCACAAGGTGAGATCTTGCATGGAACCCCAGACCGAGGGAGATTGACAGTTATTTTGTGTTTCTTCCATTTGTAAATAATCGCACCAATTGTTGTCACCTTCTCACCAAGCTGCCTGGCGATAGTCTTGTAGCCCATTCCAGCCTTGTGTAGGTCTACAATCTTGTCCCTGACATCCTTGGACAGCTCTTTGGTCTTGGCCATCTTGGAGAGTTTGGGATCTGATTGATTGCTTGCTTCTGTGGACAGGTGTCTTTTATACAGATAACAAGCTGAGATTAGGGGCACTCCCTTTAAGAGCACTCCCTGGGAGCCAGAAATCTTGCTGATTGATAGGGGATCAAATACTTATTTCAATTATTAAAATGCAAATCAATTTATAACTTTGTTGAAATGCGTTTTTCTGGATTCTTTTGTTATTCTGCCTCTCACTGTTAAAATCTACCATTAAAATTATAGACTAATCATTTCTTTGTCAGTGGACAAACGTACAAAATCACTGTAGCTCTTAATTTGAGAGAGTGAAAAATAACAATTTCCACTTGCAGCAGACTGCAGATAAAATAGCAGTGCTAATTGCACCTATTTATTTCTGGCTCATCCCTGTCTTGTTAAAACTATAAAAGGAAGGACCATGTCTGCGTGCACCCAAAAGTATGCTCTAAGGCCTGAGATTGATGTGTTTGTGAATCTCTATAGTATTTTTTATTACGGTTGTTCTGTTATGGCTTTTATGTTTTGCTGCTATGTTCTTAATTATTTTAATTGTATATTTCATATGTTTTAAGCTATCCTTTTTTGGAGACAATAAATCAGATAAATAATAAACTGATAGTTAACTTTTTGAACTGCTAACAGCAAAAGCTTTTGCTTTTGCCCAAGTCAATCCACTTCAGGATGAAGGATTCTTGATTGAAGACTATAAACTATAAATTTGGTGTAAGTGGTAGATTTTTCTTTGATTTGCCAGAGTTACTGAGCAATATACTGAAATAAAAATGGTACTATCATTGATAGAGCAAACATGTAATTCACACATCTCATACATTTTAATAATATTAGAATATTACTGTTGAATAAAATTTGGGCCTGATTCTTAAATTATTTGCAGTTGCTACTTTTTTGTTTATATGTTAATTTCAGAATGGTAATTCCCAATTGGTTTGGTGCAGTGTTGAAATGCATCTTCAGCTTTCTGGCTGGAGTCCAGTAATCAAGCCAGTTTAAGAAAACCTTTTGTTTTTTGTTCTCTAAAAATAACACTAAGGACTACACTTCAGTACACTACACTTATTACACTTTAATTGCAACTGTAATCAATGTCAAAACCCTTCCTGTTAGGACTGTTCATTAAGTTCTTAGAATATAAAATCAAACATATCTAGGAACCATTTTGCATGATTCATGGAATTTGTAATAGAAAATGCTAACTAGCTAATTCTTGATTGTATAGATCACTTGTGTACATTTGTGTTATGTGACTGCTCAAGAATAGGATTACAAGCCAGACTGGGGGATCATAAAAATAATCTAGACAAACCACTTTTTTACCATATTGCATGTACAGGTAATCTTGACTTACAACTACAATTGAGCCCAAAATTTCTGTTGCTAAATGAGACAGTTGTTAAGTCAGTTTTGCCTCACTTTATGACCTTTCTTGCTACAGTTATTATGTGAATCACAGCGGTTACGATGGTAACAGAGTTATAAAGCGAATCTGGCTTCCCCATTGACTTTGCTTGTTAGAAGATCGCAAAGAGTGATCACATGACCCCGGAACCCTGCAACTGTCATAAATATGAACTAGTTGCCAAGCATTTGAATTTTGATCATGTGACCATGGGGATGCCTCAACAATTATAAATGTGAAAAGTGTCAATTTCGAACAGTCGCTAAATGTAAGATTTGTAGGTCAACAACTACCAGTATGTATTGCCTTCTAGAGAACAATGGCAGGTAGATGGTATGTGTTGACAATGGTATGTCAACACAGAATTCCAGCTGACAGGAAGATTAACTTAATTTCAGTTTATGAACTAAAAGTGAGGAAAATTGAACCTAGAGTTCCTTTTGTGTGCTACCTCTGTGAGTAATGCATTCTGGCCCCATTCTCCAATGAAATTCAGCTTTGGAAGAGATATTTTACTTTTTACTTTTTATTTCTGATTTCTCCATGTTATGTTGTAGAATTCTAACATCACAACTATCTTGGGATTTGATAGATTGTGGATAATAGTTCAATTCTGTATTACCTTCTGTATTTCATATTTAGCACAAAGTAGTGGTGATTATTTTTTTCAAATAAGAGCCTGGCATATTTTGATAGGATAAAAGTGCTTATTCATAGCTTCCAATGGATGATTGACTATGAATTTTGTATTTCAGTTTCTTAGTGAAGCTGGAAATTCAGCTGGAAATTGAGAATTCAGTTACATATGTAGGAAGAGCAGGTCTATTTCATAGAAGTTAAAATAGGTTTAAAAGCTGCTCTGTATGAAATCGATTAACAATATAGGGAAAGTAAGAATACAAATACATTTCTCTGTTCTGTACTAAATGAAGTCAGATCTACAAGTAAAAACACTGCAGATTTGCCTAATCTTTATTCTGTTCTTATTTAAAGAATACTAGTAAATATAATTTCTAGTACATTTTTGAAGTGGTACAGTGCTACTGACTTAATCAGTTGTACATACAATATACTTACATCAAAAATTAACTTAAGTCTTCAAAAAATGCTAAAGAATTTTTATAGAGGTGCTATGTTTGTGAGTTAGAAAAAAATAGTATTTTGTCTTTAAGTTGACATTTTTGTTTGGGTATAGTTTTGTGGATTGATGTCCGTGTTACCAAATCCATGGGATGTGTCCTGAGATGATTTATGCATATGCAAACATCTATACATAGGTGTAATAGTGAAATCAATGGAAATGTTAGACAAAATGGGTATATCATGATACTTTTACAAGATGTTATCATAAAGTAATATTTATAATATTCTGATGTTGATAATACAGTACTTGTACTGAAGTGTAATAACAAGACATAAGTGAGAGAAATGAACATTGATTAAGTTAATATAACTGTTCCTCAGTGTATTTTGTCATTACTTTCATTGTTAAAGAATAACTATATTGAACAATATGTATTTTTGAGGTGTTAGAATCCAATAGGACATGATTGTGGACCTGCATAAAGGAATTGAAAACATCATTTCCTTTAGATAAATTGTCCTGTTTACTGTAAGGATGTGTCAACTTTTTGGAAAAAAACGGGTAGCAGGATAATATAGTTTAATATAGAGAAGTTGATTTTGTGATGAGTTCTAGAAAGAATCTAGTTTAAATAGCTATCACAAATCTCAGACTATGCTTTGTTTGCTTTGGTTCATATTTGGGATCATTGCTAGTTTATTCATGTTTTTTGTGATATTTCTCTTTTTTCCCTCTGTCGGTAGGATCCTTCTGTTACACAAGTGACTAGAAATGTTCCACCAGGATTAGATGAATACAACCCTTTCTCAGATTCCAGAACAGTAAGCATTTTTATCTTTCTTTAAGAGTGCATTTTTAATCTGCAAAATTTTTTTGTGTTACTTTGAATTCATGATATCTTCACAGATCAAACCCTATTTGTATTTTAATAAATATTGTTTGAAGCAGGCTACTTTAAATCAAAGTGTAGTCTGATGGCACATAATACAGCTACCTTGTAAAGCTTACCAGATTTGGGTTCGTAATGTTCCTGAGTGGAACATAGGCTAAGAAACACACTTTTGCTCTTTCTTGAGTTGTGTATGATTTAACAAAAGCATTTTGTACTTGCTATATTAGATATGGTGTTGATAAGCAAAAGACCATTAACTTAATATCAGCTAATGCCTACAGAATATTTCAAGTGCATACCTTAGCACACTTACAATTAAAAGGGGGTAATTGGTGATAGGAAAAATCTCGACTTTCAACCTTAGGACCAGCCTGAATAGAAAATATAATGATAATAATGATATAGTAATGAGAAACAAGTTCTAATCTGTAGACTATATTCATTAATTCTCCAGCATGAGGGATGGATAATCCACTTGATTGGGTTTCCTGAAGTCCCTTGTACCCAATAAGACTAAGTCTGAGATAGCCACGCCTCCTGCCTGGCCGCACATGCCCAGTTCAGACTTAGTCTTACCCAGACAAGGCGTGTTGTTTTCTCTGCTCTCCAGACTCAGGTTTTATTTAACTATTTTGGATATTTCT